AGGAAGTCAGAGAAAGAGAAGGAGAATGAGTGACAGGCAAGTCTTCAGAAAGCAATACCAGAGGAGCGTAAGGTGGAGCAGTAGCTCCTGGGGCATAATTTGGGACACTTACATCTGCTGCAGCAGGGGTGCTGTTTTTCCTGGTCTTGCACGGGGTGCTGTTTTTCCTCCTTGAATGTCACTGGCCCCATGGCCTATTATCCCATATGTACCGGTAATCCATTAGGTGAGGCGTTTCATCCTTCACTACAAATAATTTCTTAAGAGTCAAAGGATCCTTCTTTTGGTTATTAGTTTTAAGATGGCCAGTCATTCTCATACAAAGTGATAGCTAGCTTTTTGGATAAATATACTGTACAGTCTTCCCTCCTTTTTTGATTTCCCAAAACCTCGGCCAAGGGCGCCCTCTTTTTTATGCCGGGTACGTTTCCCATAATCAGTCAGCTATGTGCACCTCATGCTGATCAGGCTGCGCACCCTTAAGGCTGCTGCATGGCTGCAAGGAGGGAGGGACTCAAACCCACCCTCGTGTTGGGACTCAGACACATCCTACCGAATCTGCTCAAAGAAATTTAACACTCACCTATCAGTGCCTCCTGCTCTAAAAGTTCCCAGGTGAGCTCACCCGCTGCTGGCAGTTGGATGTTTGGAGACAAGAGAGTCGGTTGGTGGTTGCCTAGGTTCCCAAACTGTTATAGGAACAGTTCGACCCTAGGTTTGCAAGGACCAGAGTCTCACACATGTATAGCAGCAAAATTAATTATTTAAATGATGGTACAGCGTAGTACCAGCTCGAGCTAGGTGCCTCCAGGGAGAGACCCTGAACAAAGAAATTCTGGGGTAATTATACCCTTTACAGTCTTATTTCACTGCCTGCCAGTGAAGGTCTCCTCTAGTCGTCTTTACTGAGTTGGTGATCTCCTTCTGATTGGTGTGTCTCTCCTTCTGTCTGGTCTTGGCCTTCGTCCGAGGCTGGTTGCCTTGTCCTTGTTTTCCACAGTCCCTTATCTTCTCTAAGATTGACCGCAAACCAGGTGCATCCGGTTTTGTCTCCTGCCTTCTACTTGCATCCTCATTAGCTAGTTTTGTATCTTTATTAGCTGGTTTTAATGGGTTTTGCAGTTCCATTCTCAGCAGTGTTTGTTGAGTTCGTTGGCAGTTCCGCTGTGAGGCCTGCAGGCTTCATCTGCCTTAGGCATGAGTCAGACTTATGCTAAGCTGAAGCTAAATAGGCCACAATTTCCTTCTCTAACAGTGCTGAAGCTAAATCAGTTAAGATTTCCTTTTCTAATGTTAGTGCAAAGAATTTTCAATTTGAATAGGCAAGAGGCACGAATACCAAATACACTGAGAAACAGAGAGGAGGGGTGTGTCTGTATGTGTATGTGTGTATATAAATATACATACACGTGTATATATATTTACACACACACACTCAGGATATGTATTCAGGGTCATACAAAATAGGATAGTGAAGGCTCATAACTCAGTGGTATATCTGTAGATAAGAAGAGATGATGATAATGTATGTACCATATAGAAGAAAAATGAGGTGGAGAGCAGAAAATAGACATGGAACGTCCTGGAGCTGCATGAAGAGCTGTTCATCACTTGTTCATGATCCAAAACCAAGAAAATATGGTATGAGGTACTGTATTCTTAAGGGTTTAAACTACTGTAGCTTGAAGGTTCTGTGTTAGGGAAAACAAAACCATGGAATTTCATAAAGCAGTGTATTTGGGGCAAGAGAAGAAATAGCTTAGTGAAGTTTCCCAAAAGGAGTTTGGGAACCTCTTCTAAATAACACCTTCTCCTATTTCATTAGTCAGCCTAGTTATCTGGTTATAACAAACCTGAATTAGGAAGAAGCTTTATTCCTACTGTTAGTTATGTTACTGAGGGGGAGGCATGAGTGAATAAAGTTTTTAAAGTATCAGACTGACTGTGGTCTGTGGCAATACTCTGAATGAGGGTGAGTAATTTCTCTCATATGATATGTCTTAATACTACTTGTGTCTCTGCAGCTATGCATGTAAACTAGTAGTATAAGACTTAGCCAGTGATAAAATTTCTTTTTAGGAGGATATCTGAGTAACAAAAATATTCAGAGGCCAGATGCCTTTCTACAGAGGCATTTTTCTAGCCATGGCCTACTTTAAGGCCCAAGAGTTTAAATGTCTTCTTCGATTTTCTTAATAGTTAATTTATTGCAACAGCTGACTCAACTGAAGAAAAATGTGTAGGGGCCAAGGAAAAGCTGGCAAGTTGAATAGAATAGTAGCCTCTGGGAGTATCATCCTGATGCACATGGTACGTATTAGGGGCTCTTGTGGGAAAACTGTATTTTATAGATGTAAAGGAAAAAGCGGAGCATAATTCATAAAATGATCAGATCACAAATGCTTTGTTAAAGGTATTTTTACTGTAAGCAAAGAAAGGAAAATCAGGGGATCACATTCAATGGGAACAGATTAATTAAAATTGATAGTATATTATAAACAATGCTTAAGTGAATCTTCACCAGTAGGGCTAACTTGAAGAAAACACTTAAACCTGACGTCTTTCCTTAGGGAACAAGGCTTTTATGACAATGCTGCTCACGTATGTGTCCCCTTAAAATTTTTTTACTTCATCAACTAATTTCAACTAAGTGGAAACCCGGAGGATATTAATTTCTTCCTTGTTTTTTAAAAATTGGTGTCGTGGGGAGGGCAGTACAGAAACCAAATTAGTACCACCACTGAGAGATGTGCGACACTGAGAGGTTAATACTAGTCTGTTGTGCTGGGCCTTCTTGCTGGTCTAGCAGCATGGACACACATCAGAACCAGCTATGACACTTGCTTGTACCTACTTAGATATGCAGGAGGGTGTTTGGTTATGCTTCCAGCTGACGAGGCAAAATTCCTGGAGAGGAATCTTAGGAAACAGGTGAAGATGCCTGAGGCATACAGACCACACATCCATACAAAACCAGGATGGAGCAACTGTGCTGCTTTGAGAACAACTTGTTGTAGCTACTCAAAATAGAGGCCGCCTTTTTCCCTCATCCACTGATTTAACCTTCAATGGCTTCGTTTTTTTTTTTTTTCTTTTCCTTCTGTGGTGTAGACACAGCCAGACAGTGGGGTGGAGGAAACAATATCAGAAAATTCTGATCTTGTGTGACACTTTTGAGGCTAGGGCTCTCTACCTTCTTTCTGTAACTTCCAAAAATCATGCCTTTTTTTTTTTTTTTTTGTAATGTCAGTTTTCTCAGCATGGGCCTCACCAGACCTAGGGAAAAGATGAATGAGTCTGCTTTTTCATTAGTCATTTTCCAAGCCTAAGAGAGCAAGGGAGTAAATTTTGAATCCCATTCCTCTGAATTTCTTTTCTCAGGGCTAGTGAGAAGCAGTGGGAACAGAAGTGTGAGCTTAGTTTGTCTTTTGCATACTAGTGAGGCCAGCTAGCTGCTGCTGGGAATAAGAGGGTAAATGAGAACCTTTGGAGGATGTGAACATGCTCGTATGTGTCCCATGTACAAAGTATAACAAGACAAGAAACGTCTAGAGGGAGGTGAACAAAGGAAGAAATTCTCTTAACGGGAAGAACCATCACAATCCAAGAGGGTAAACATTGGAAGATGGAGGAACTTGTTGGTAACTCAGTATGCAGAAATGTTACTCACATACAAGAAACTCTTGATGGAAAAATTGTAACAACAAAAAAAATAGCCAGTGGATGAATTTAAATTGTTAACAAATTCGCAATCATAACCCTTGATCTGAATTATCTTCCAATAGGGAGCTGGGGGCGGTGCTGAAAATAAGATTGGTTCCACCATTTTTCACTTGGAAGCCTTCTCATTTAAAAGTATGGTGGAAGATCTTTCTTTGCTCCTCCAGGGAGCAGGCAGAATGGAATGAATGACCTATCTTAGATGTTTTAAAGCATTGAAGTAGTAAGTAGAGTTTTTGTTTAGAAATCTATATGAAGCAGCTCCTCTCTGCTTTAGTTATTAAATAACACTATTTGCAGAGAGAGGAGGTGGGATATTAGCAAAGCTCTTAGAATATGTTACCGAATACCAATGGGGAACTTAAATTTTCTTTTTAGTTACTGCTTCTGTTCTAAGACAGACAACCAGAATCAAGTTTAATCTTTATCCCCTGAACTCCCAGCCACAAACTGAGCGGCCAAGTGTTGAAAATAAATATTATGTGTACAAAATGATTGTTTCAAGGATCTGGGGAATCCTGGAGGAAGAGAATCGTGGGTAGGAGAGAGGAAAACTGAAGGATAACTTCAGATCGGTGGTCTTAATGCAGGTTTAGTGTCCTAGATAAGTTGGACAGATCATTCTTCCTTGATGCAGAGTCAAGATATCACATTTTCTTTCCATGCAATTGTGTATGTTGTCAAAGGATAAAAAATGGATTAGTGGTTGTGAAGTGTTAAGTGTAGAATGGTGATCCTTCAGAACACCCAGAAGGATCATAGCTGTGTTACTTACGCAGTTCCTGCAAGGAAGTAGAGTAAGCAGTGTTAGAGGCTGAGACAGGTGAGCTCTTGTACATGCTTGTAAACTTCTGTGGGAGAGGAGTGGGTGAAGAGAGGAGGAAAGTAAAGAGCAGTGAGGTATGTTTCAGTAAAAATGTAAGTGTAAGGCTATTTTTCCCGTAGTTGCATGGAAATTATCCTTTTAAATAATGATGTTGAAGCTCTACCCCAAAGTCTCTGCCAATTACTTCATTCAAACCTTGGAGATTTCCAGAAAACCTCCTTCATGTACTGTAAAAGTAGTCATTAAAGAGCTCAAGGTGAGACTTGCATAATTCAGTAGCCATGATATTTACACTAGCATAACAAAAAAGACAAATCACTCTAACTTAGCAAGCATATGTAATTTCTGCACATACTGAGTAGTCTTGTGAAATTTAATTCCTCAAAACAATTCAAATGGGCCTGGATATAAACACCTGCAAACTGGCTTCTGAAGGTTCATAGACAAAGTGAAGATGTTCATAGACAAAGTGAAGATGTTCATAGACAAAGTGAAGATGTTCATAGACAAAGTGAAGATGTTCATAGACAAAGTGAAGATGTTCATAGACAAAGTGAAGATGTTCATAGACAAAGTGAAGATGTTCATAGACAAAGTGAAGATGTTCATAGACAAAGTGAAGATGTTCATAGACAAAGTGAAGATGTTCATAGACAAAGTGAAGATGTTCATAGACAAAGTGAAGATGTTCATAGACAAAGTGAAGATGTTCATAGACAAAGTGAAGATGTTCATAGACAAAGTGAAGATGTTCATAGACAAAGTGAAGATGTTCATAGACAAAGTGAAGATGTTCATAGACAAAGTGAAGATGTTCATAGACAAAGTGAAGATGTTCATAGACAAAGTGAAGATGTTCATAGACAAAGTGAAGATGTTCATAGACAAAGTGAAGATGTTCATAGACAAAGTGAAGATGTTCATAGACAAAGTGAAGATGTTCATAGACAAAGTGAAGATGTTCATAGACAAAGTGAAGATGTTCATAGACAAAGTGAAGATGTTCATAGACAAAGTGAAGATGTTCATAGACAAAGTGAAGATGTTCATAGACAAAGTGAAGATGTTCATAGACAAAGTGAAGATGTTCATAGACAAAGTGAAGATGTTAAAATATAGAAATATGTTGGGTTTGGGAATGTTGTTTAGTGGAATATCAAGGGGATTCTTGTTGAATGTTATTTAACATGCTCATTAATCACGTAGCTGGTGTAAGCAGGTTGCTAATGAAACAGCAACTGTTATTCTACAGGGAGGCCTTGTTAGCAGAAGAAATAACACTAAAGGGATTTGGAGGGTTGTGGTGGTGGTGTTGTTTTTTTTTGTTTTAAAAAAAATAACAAAATGCGATTTGACTCAGGTTGATGTGAGCTAACTCCTGAATCTGCAGTGGCAAGTTTCAGTTGTAGGGAGAAGCCTTGAAAATAGATCCAAGAAGGAGGTGGGAGCAGGGTGAGAGGTTCATACTAGACAGCAAATCGCATGGTTTGTGTTGGGTATATCACAGAATCACAGAATCACAGAATCGTTTAGGTTGGAAGGGACCTCTGGAGATCATCTAGTCCAACCTCCCTGCTCAAGCAGGGTCACCTAGAGCATATTGCCCAGGATCATATCATCATAGTAATGACAGACAGTCACTCAAGCTAATGCAGTGAACAAAGAGTCCATCTCCAGAGATGGAGTCTTCTTCTTGTCTGGTTGTGGGCGACGAGGGAAAGGGTTTTGGCCTCATCCTCTTGACACTCCCCCTTCAGATACTTGTACACGTTGACGAGATCCCCTCTCAATCTTCTCTTCTCCAGGCTGAACAGGCCCAGCTCTTGCAGTCTTTCTTCATAGGAGAGGTGCTCCAGCCCTCTAATCATCTTGGTAGCCCTCCGCTGGACTCTCTCCAGGAGTGCCATGTCTCTCTTGTACTGGGCAGCCCAGAACTGGACACAGTACTCCAGGTGAGGCCTCCCCAGGGCTGAGGAGAGGGGCAGGATCACCTCCCTCGTCCTGCTGGCAACACTCTGCCTAATGCACCCTAGGATCCCATTGCCTTCTTGGCCACAAGGGCACGTTGCTGCCTCATGTTTAACTTGTTGTCCACCAGCACTCCCAGGTCCTTCTCGGCAGAGCTACTTTCCAACAGGTCAGTCCCCAGCCTGTACTGCTGCATGGGATTATTCCTGCCTAGGTGCAGGACCTTGCACTTGCCTTTGTTGAACTTCAGGAGGTTCCTCTCCTCCCACCTCTCCAGCCTGTCCAGGTCCCTCTGAATGGCAGCACAGTCTTCTGGTGTGTTAGCCTCTCCCCCCCGTTTAGTATCATCAGCAAACTTGCTGAGGGATGTGTAGAATATGTGTAGAATATGTAGAATAGAATATGTAGAATATCAGCAAACTTGCTGAGGGATGTGTAGATATGTAGAAACAGAAACAGCTACTGCAGTATCTTTAGGAGAAGGCACTGCAGAATGCAATGGGAAAAAAAGTCACCTCAGCATTTGTGCAGCGGGATGTGGACAGTTATGTGTGGTTCAGGTTTCTGCATTGCAGGAGACATTGTGGAAGGAAACTAGTAGAAGAGTCAGGTCAGAGGGTTGCCCAGGGAGAGGGACTGAGACTTTAAAAGTTTGGAGGGTCTGAGACCATTGTTTAATCTTAACAGTCTGCTTTTAATGGTCGAACAAATGATTTGCTTTTCCTTAAGGATGTAGCACTGAATAACCCCCAGGAACTGTGGCAAATGCTTAACAATTACCCACAACAGTTCAAGACAGAAAGAATATCCTGTTTTACTGACGCTGCAGGAGGGGTTAGAACGGAAGAATGAAGTGGTTCTCAGTGGAATTTGGCCAATGTGCTGACTGGTCCGCCAGGGACCCCAGGCACTTGGGATCCTGGTTTCATTTTATGTTCCTTTGGTAAAAAGGCAACCCCAAAATTTGAGCAAGTTCTGACCAAGCCTTGCAGCTCTGATTATAGGAGAGTACGATACCGTTTTCTAAGTAATTTGTGCCTCTAATGGGGAGCTGAAGAGCTTGCCTTTTGGAATTCAGTGCTTTTAGAAGCACTGATCTAGTGAGACCTGTGCAGGTGAGAAATTGAAGTTGTTTAGTTTCATTACTATAGAGATTACCTGAGCATATTTAGAGTGTTTTGTTCCTGTTACTCATGTTTTACTTTGTAGCCAGTGTTTTTTGTTCAAGATATTTAAGGTTATTACTTCTTTCCAGAACAAAACATACTTTTTATGATAGATATTAAGTTTCCCACAGGAAAATTAAAACTAGGTAACACGAATGTGTTTGTAGAGTGCTGTATGTCTGCTGCCTAGTGGTAGCTCTCCTGTGGTTCTCCTGCAGAGAACAACCAGTGTCATTGAATGTTCTGTTTGCTATTTCCATTCTGGGATGTCATCGGTGTGCTGAAGTGTTGTGTATTTAAAGCCATAAGTGGCTAGCTTTGAGTGAAGCATCTGATAAAGATAAGACCAAAACTGACATGATGCTGAAGCTGATAGCATGCTATTTTCCAAATAGTGGCATAATTCCTGTAGTATTTAATTATCCTCTTTGATATCCTTGCACTGTTTACATACTGGTTTCCTATAGCTACAGTTTATATTTGAGTGGGCTTTCCTGTTATTTCTGAAACTAATTAAAGGTTTTGAACATTCAAGTGCAGTGCTCTGTTTGTGCATAAATATGCTAAACAGGTCTTAAACTGAGTCAGTGGTTTAAAGGATTGACAATTTCAAGGCAATATTTATCAGCACCTACTGCTTAGTGGCCAATGGTAACTGCTGTGTTCTCAAATTAAGGTAACTGATATTTATTATTGGCAAATGCTGTTTTTTATTCTTTACACAATATACTTCAGCCTAAAAATGGAGTGAAACGGTTCTCTCATCTGTTACTGTAAAGCTTCTGTTAAGGGATTGTAAAAATGTGTGGGTGTGTTTGAGGCTGGGTCTTTAAAGGCTGGGTTTGGAAAGTATGTTGAAGCCACGTCAATGGCATTCAGAGCATGTGATTGGATATCCTATTTGTATTATCAGAATGAAGTGTATTATAGATTTATTTTAGCACTTCTCGGTGATGTTGCAATTCCTGCTTTAACACTCCTGTGAGTTTTTAAGATTTGTTCAGCTTTTTTGTTTTTTAAGAAAAAAATTCAAGCTTCGTAAGCGTTATCACAATCCACTTATTTAGAGTAATTACGTTACATTGTAGAAGAACAGATATACCATTACATGAAAGAGCCGCTCATCCAGATTCACACTGGGATTGCCTTGACTTTTTTGTTCATAAGCAGGTTATGCTGCTAATCGATGGGTGGTTAAAATGGAATGATGTCCTTCCAAAAGGTACTACCACATACTTTTCTCCTCACCAATATCCATTTGTCATTACCTTGTTCAGTGTAGGAAGTTTTATTAAGTCATCTGTATTTCTTCATTATGCTCAGCTGGATCTTCACCCAATTTATTTCATCAAGAATGTTTTCTTCTCCCTAGGCTACCTGCCTTGCATCCAGCCATTAATAAATGTATAGAGTGGCCCCAGACTCGCATGTTGAAAAATAGCTAATTAAGAATCATGAAATTTAAAACAATTTGTATGTTTAATCAAAAAAAAAAATCCTTACCGTCCAGTTTTAGTGTTCTATATTCATTTATTTTCATAGCTGTTCATTATTCACCAAAGAATTTTTTTCTGCACTACGTTAGCTATATCTATGTGCTTTTTTTTTGCACCAGTCCCCATGATATTTTTGTTGGTTCTGAATTTGTCAAGTAAGAATAGATAGTGTTGTCATAAGACTGCATTCAAACGTAGGAGTTTAGGACTCGTTGTACTGACTTTGCCCTCTGCGTGCTGCAAGACTGTGGGAAGTTCTCTTACTGTGTGTTCCTCATTTCTCTGCCTGTACAGTGGACATCCCTACTGTCCTTTACTCTTTTGTCTCTGGAGACTAAAATCGTTAAGCTTACTGTGTCTGTGGAGAAGCTTAAGAATGTCTGGTGCGGATGACTGTTCTTGAAAGAAAAATTGAGTTACATGAAGTTTTTTCAGAGTGTCACTTTCAGTCTATCTGTCTTTGTGTTTTGTCTTAATTAAGCAAAATGTTTCTTGTAAGGAAAAAGGTGCTGTTAATTCCTCCCTTCCCTGAGGGACACCCCAGAGCCGAAGAAGGTTTCATCTTTTATGTGGTCTTAATAGGAATGCAAACAGCTGGACAGAATTAAGATGTTCAGCTTATACTCTTATGTGGACCATAGATGCAGCTTAATTTTGATTTATCATGATATTTTTCATACACATAAATACTGTCCATAAAGAAGCTCTGGCGCATTTTGGAGGATAGTAGTGAGTTCTAAAATTAGTTCCTTAGGAGATATATCTTTTCGATATCATCTGTTCTTTGGTTGCTTCTCTTATTTTTCCTTTTAATTAACGTTAACAGATTTTTTGCTTGGAGTACTCTTAAGAGTGGATCCTATTAGATAAGAGAGATCTGAGTCTGTCTCATAGATAAGTTTCCTGCTGGTTTTAAGTTTTCAGTTCCTACAGGTGACCACCAAGTGAATAATTTGTTCCATGCGCTTCAGTATTTCCTTTAATCTTGGTATCATGTCCAAATAGGATTGAATATTGACGTATAGTATTATGGTACACAGGCAAGAAAATATTTTTACTTCCTAATGGGCATAATAGAAGTTCTGTAATTAATAGAAATCAGTTCCTGAGAACCAGGATGGAAATTTGGTGTTAGAACAATTCCCTCTCCTCACCTCTTTTCAGATTTTGATTCCCCTTCTCTGAACCTTTTGGCTGTGAGGCTCTCAGTGGTGCTTATAATGGCATGTGTTGTTGGTTTCACTTCACGTTTTCTTAGTTTTGAACATTAAGAGTCTTCATAGATTCAATTTTATTATTGTTAGCATTTTCCATGTGCTATATTGGATATTATGTGGGGAGGTTTCTTTAGCCATAGATGGGCACATGTCTAACACTGCAATCCTTTCACTTAAGTAAAAGGTTTTTTTTGTTGTTTTCATTTCTCTCAGAAGGCAGAAGTAATTATGAAAGAGCCGTTAATATGAAGGGTGGCAAGGAAGCAGTCCTGAGTGTACGCTT